GGAGATATGCTTGGGTGTCCAGCGTTGAAGATTGGCCGGGAGGGCTTTCATGGCGCGTGCCAGAGACAACCAATCGACCTCACGGATGGACTGCTCGGAGAGGCGGTCCTTGGAGGACCAATATGCTTGAAGGGCAGGAAGAGAGACCAGCTCCATGATGTGAGCCTGATCCAGTTTGGAAGACTTAACACCATCAATGAATAACGAGCGGGGGTTGGAGGCAGCAGACTGGCCTGTGGACTCCAACAGGCGGCGGTAGGCTTGTGCTTTGGAGTCCAGATTGCGCTGCTCCCACCAGTCCAGTTGAGAGAAAGGACGCTGCTTATCTAGGTGACCCTTGACATGACGCCAATGAACTTGGAGAGGAAGGTGGCGAAGCAAGGCCCGGATGGTGGAGGCCAAGTCAAACTGCGCGCCAGACGAGGACAGATGTGCTTCTGAGAAGGACTTATCCAGGGTAATGAGGCCGTCGCAGGCCATCTTGACCGAAGGTTGGCTGGCAAAGAGCTTCAGTTGGACAAGCTGAGCCATCCATTCCAACACCAGGAGAGAAGCCATAAGGCCAATCAATTCGCTTTGCGTTGAACTCTGATCCTCAAATTTTGCAGGGGTTTGGCAGGTGATCCAGATGATATTCCTGCGATCCTCAGTGAGAATTTGAGCGCATGCTGTGCCCACTTAAGCTTTGTAAGAGCCCCGTCGCTCACCACACGAAGGTTACCGGCAAGAAGGGCCTGAACCAGGCGATCCTCACTCTCTTCAATGGAAATGACCTCTGGAACCCAGCCGTGAGAACCTGACTCAGCCAGACTGCCAAATTGGTGCCAAAGATCAAGGATGGAAGATGGGGGGCAGGTGTTTCGGCTGGTTGGTGTGGGCCAGTAGAGTGGAGGAGGACACGGCTCTTGTGGCTCGGAGACCGGCTAGAGAAGACAGAGACCGAGGCGTGGACAGTGTCCACTGGTAGAGGTGGGAGATCCAGGTTGAAGCGGTGAGGCAAGTAGAAGATGCGCTGGCGGCTGCTGGAGGAAGTAGGCTCAGATGGGATCCATATCTGACCCTCGCGGTGGAACAGGGTATTGGTAGAGGGGGAGTATTGCCACTTCCAGGACAAGTCAGCTGAGTGCCACAGGCCTAACGGGGAGCTGAGGCGGCGTCGGTTGGAGTGGCCTGTTAGGCGAGTAGAGATCCATTGCTGCCACATAGTCCACCACTGATTAGACGGAGGAGCAGTACGGGGCCATTGGTACCTGTCAGCAAGGTAATCTGCTTGTATCCCTTTCCATGCGTCCAGAGTGATCGCTGTCCCTTCAGCATTCACGATATCGGAGAGAGTGACAGCGTGAAGGAAGGTCCGACACCAGTTGAGCCATTTCAATGTATGCTGATGCACCAAAGAGTCAATGAACAAGTCCACTAACAGTTGATCCCCTTGGCGCATTGGTTGGAGGGAGGGAGAATCAAACTCCAGATGTATGGAGAGAGAATCAAGTTCACTCTAGGTCCGCTTGGCCCACGTATCAGAAGCAAGGATGGAGGTGTTGGAATAGACTTGTTGGAAGAGGCCATAGGAGGTACCGGTCTCCAGCTGATGTGCCTGAAGGACTGCCTCCAAGAAGGCGCCCGTTTTGGTCTGGTTAGCCGGATGGCGAAGGAGCATGTCTAAGTGCTTGATGACTTGGAGGCCGTACGGATGGGGGACACCCACTCCCTGGAGTGCAATGGGGGCGTAGACCATAGCACAAGGAAAGTTGCGGCAGATACCGGCCTTTGGAAGTGCCGCCCGGAGCACTGGGGATAGTATCTGGTCCCACTCCTGTGGAGAGAAGAAGGTGAGCGCCATTAGCTACTCCAAAGTCTTCTGGATTGTGGTGCAAAGGAGAGGAAGGACATCATATCGTTGGAGGAAACTAGGTTGGATCTAGTCCGCCCATGCTTTTGCCTTCCCTTGCATAACCACGAGTTGAGCTTTACTGTTGGAGCAGGGGGACATCAGAATACCCAACGTCTTGGCCGATTCATCCGCTTCGAGCCACTTTAGATGCACAGAGGTGCCATCCAGATCATCCAATTCAACCGCAATTTCCGACATGCCTGTTGGAAGAAGAGATGGTTTAAAATCTCGCTTCTTCCGGAATTGCCATACACCTAGTTGCGAGTTCCACTTGAAGTTGATCAGATACCAAAAGGATTTATCTGGTCGGATGGCGCCACCAGTAAGGCGAACGCCGTTGGACCACCATTGCAGTGCTTTGGCCACCGCTGGGACAATAGATTCCCCAGACTGGTCAGGGGATGGTGCAGCTTGGCAGACATCAGTGTCATCGACAAAACAAAAGCAATCGGCCAAGAGCGGAGCCCAAGATATTGACATCAGAAAGTCAAAGCCAAAGCCTTTGCTAATCATCATCCCCAAGAGAATGGAGCTAATTGCCACCCAGATAGGAGGTCCTGCTCCATTGCCTTGTCCACATCCTTGGAATGGGATCAGGGTCGGAGGAGTAAAGACGCGGTCGGAATCACCAAACCCTGTACGCACCCGGTGTTTAGACTTCATCAGGGTGTCAAACATGGAGCGAAGGGTACGCCATTGAATCCCAAAGCGCATCAGGCTAATGATTGCCACCCAGTGGACAATGCGGTCAAAGCAGGACTTGGCATCACTGGATATCCACCCGGTGGGACGGCGTTGCAGATGTAGAAGGTCCCAAGTGAGCCGCTTAGTAGTAAGGGCCAGATCAATGGCCTGGTGACGCTTGCGAGAACCATGTTGCCCTGATGGGATCAGTTTGTGCTTCTCGGCATAGGCCATGGCCGATTTCCCCACCCTTTTGTTGTTGGCTTGGAGTTCAGAGTTCATCATTTGGATCGTGCGCATCAGGTCCACCCAAATCTTGCCTGGTTTCTTTTCAATCGCAAAATTGAGCAAATGGCGCCATTGGGCTGGGACAAATCCAGTTGCAAAAGGGATAGAGCGAAAGATCGTGTCGCAGCAAGCAAGCAGGTTTGATGCTGCGCCCGCTTTGTAATGTCCATTATGCAGACCGTGTGGTTCCGAGCCTTTATGTTCCCCCATCTTACGCCAGAAGGTAACATGATCCTCCAGATCCACCTCCAGTGGTTGGTCTTCCAAGCCCTCCGGCCGTCAACAATGGTCAATGAATGACGCCAAGTAAGGGTCCGATGTCTCAACTTCATAGAGGCCCCGGAGTAATGCTTTGCTGGTCTGTTCTGCGTTAGGGCCATTGAAGTCGGAGTACAAAGGTTCAGTCTTGGTGGGGTAGGGTAGGGGTAGCGCGTCTAGTCATACCGTAGACAGTTCTCTTGCATGCAGCCTTCCTCCACAAGGCGTTTAGACTGGCATGTTACCCAATGAGAGGAACCATCCGGTGCCACCTGGACCACTTTAATCTGCTGTAGGCCGCCAGAAAAACCTTTGCCTTGAGCTTTCCGTCGCCGTCGGGTCTCCTCCTTCTGTGCCATCCGTTGGACTCAAGTCCGTCGACTGCGAGCCTTGATGTTGCCCTTCTTCGCTTTCTGGACCGCTGCTGATTGGGACTCCAGGTACTTCAGGCGCCACTGATGGGCACGCTTCCGCTTGACCTCCTTGTATTCTTGGTGTTCAAGGTACCACGTTGCCTGTAGGTCAGCTTCCAATAATTTCCATGCGTCACTCAGCCCTGTCTTCTTCAACAAGCGCCGGACCTTCCTTGAACTAGTCCTGACCTTTTTATGTCCCAAGATCAAAAGCTGGTAGAGGTGCAGCCTATCCCATTTCTGCTGCATTTGTGGGGACCAGTGAACTTTACCCATTGACAGTTTCCGGCAGTTGCGCTCAGCTCTTCGGCGAATCTCGCAGGCCTGGCGATGAATTGTGTTGAATCGATCTTGCTGGTTTGCCGTCAAGTAGCCATCCTGGACCAAAATATCATCCGCTAATTGTGTCAATAGTTGAGGAAGGCGAAAGTGACGATAGCCCGCTTCAGCAGCTTTGATATAGCGGTCAACAGAACGGCCATCAGCCAATGTCAGACGACGTGGGTGGAAGGAGGGGGAGTTGACCGGTGGAGCCCCAAGAGTCGCCTCCAGGTCAATGTCAATCCAGAGTCCCCTGTGGTCCGACTTAAAATACTGCTGGAAGTCCAAGTATCCTCCTGCAG